GCCTACGTCCGCTTAGGCTTTTGAAAACTTGAAACTTGACTTGCTGTAAGCATCATTTTACAAAGAGTGGTTATATTCGTACAATATTTTCTACAAATGCATAATATTTTAATTTCATAGAAGTTCCTAACCTTTATTCAATGTCACATTTAGGTCCTTAACTTTCATCATCACATTGTTATTCATAAACTTTTATTAATTAGCAAATCTAATGTTTAATGATAATTTTCGTCTAAAATTCTATGAGCGTGTTTTAAAAAGAGTGACAAATTATCTAGCCGCAGCCAGAAATAAAATGTACTAATTAATGGAAAGTATGATGAAAGAATTTGGTATTGGGCCAGTCCGATATGTCCCCTAATCTTTGGCCTAATTTAATCTTTGGATTTATAAGTACCTTCATCCAACAATCAAATGAGACTTTTGGAGATTCAATACACGTAACATTCAAGCCAAGAAAGGCTTTTGGGATACAAAAATCCAATTATTGCGAAGAGGAGCCTAAGAGCAAGCTTTTGATCAACAATTCCTTATTTTTTTCCATTAAGTTTTGTTACAAGACATATCCATATATCAATTTCATACATTTATTGCTTGGATTGAAGAGGAAGAAAAATTAAAAGAGATTGGTCAAAGAGCTATTGAAGATATTCAAGACTTTCAAGATTTCTTTTCATCTTCTTTTCGAACGTTAATTCCGAGTGATGTCGTGTCAATTCAATTGTGTTTTTATAGCTAATATGATACTTGACTAACTATATAGATGTGAGGATGAAGTTGAATCCTATATTTTGATATTCCGTTATTTATTTTCGATACGTGTTTGACCTTGAAAGATTTTTAGGAGTCTAATACATTTTCAATTAATTGACGCTAATTGAATTGTTTGTGATTTCTATTGACATTAGAGAGAATGAACAAGAATTTAACGTGTTAACAATCATTGTAAAACTCAATAGGAGATAAAAATATACTGATATGTTTTACATGATCGTTTTGAATGTTCTTGTGGTTTAACATATCGTTGAATGTCCTAACGTTTGCCAAATCTAATTTTGTTATTCGATTAAAACTAGATTTATTAGAAGTATAATAAATACTCAGTATACACGAGAATGATACTTTACTTACTCTTTATTATT